ACCCTGTCCTGCCATCATCAAAGTCTAAGGCTTTATGTTTTGGTTTGGTTTTGTTCTTGCAAATTTGGAGAAGACAGAAGACCCAGATTATAGGATACAGAACATTACTGGCTAGTACTTGAAAGACCAGAAAAAAAAATGCATTATCTTGTTGTCCTCATCAGTCTAAAATAGAAGATAATGAGACAAAATCATACATACATAGCAACCATCCCACAAAAAAAAATGATACAGGCATTTAACAGTAAAAACTTTGTAAGAAGGCAAAACAATAAAAAAGATATATGGGCTCATAATCATATAGTACTAAACACGAGAAGGCATTTGGAAATGCAGGGTCACTCAGAGAGGACTGAGGAGATACAAATTCTTAAAGAATATCTGTAGAAAGTCTGAGAAAAATGGTAGCAAAACACAAGTATTTGAAGGCCTAAAGAGCAAGTACTGGGAAAAAGAGCCCCCACTTCTTAGTGTGCCAAAGCCCTTTAGAGAAAGGTTATTAGCAGAATACATTGTAAAAGGAAATTATGACAGTGGGACTCCCAGCAATCTCAGTTGGGAGAGCCTGACTCTGGATTTCGGGGTTGTGAGTTCGAGCCCCAAGCTGGGTGTAGAGATTACTTAAATAAATAAACAAGTTTTTAAAAAGAGAGAGAAATCATGACATATGGGATCCCATAAATATAAGTTGATGTGCAAACATGTGGGTACTTAGCCACTCTTAGAATTTAAAAATGAGGGGCACCTGAGTGGTCAGTGGTTGAGTGCCTTCAGCTCAGGTCGTGGTCCCAGGGTCCTGGGATCGAGTTCCGCAGCAGGCTCCCTGCGGCCTCTCTCTCTGTGTCTCTCATGAATAAAAAAATTAAAAAAAAAAAAGAATTTAAAAATGAGAAAGCAAACCCCAGACATTGCAGACATTATTAATGCCAAGGTAAGAAACAGAATTCAAAGCTTCCCAGCAGGGCAGCCCAGGTGGCTCAGCAGTTTAGAGCCGCCTTCAGCCCAGGGCGTGATCCTGGAGACCCGGGATCGAGTCCCACGTTGGGCTCCCCGCATGGTGCCTGCTTCTCCCTCTGCCTGTGTCTCTGCCTCTGTGTGTGTGTGTGTGTGTGTGTGTGTGTGTGTGTGTGTGTCATGAATAAATAAATCTTTAAAGAAAGAAAGCTTCCAGGCAGCAGTGGTTTAACAACTCCTGGACTAAAAAGCTTAAGGAGTGGGTACAGGAGAGTAAAAACAATCCAAACAGGTAGGTGGAGCTATAGAACCCTAACACCTGATAGGTAGCTGTGCAGCAGGGATCTGTGCCTGAAGAAGCAGGTTTACTTTGCTATGGGGCTTAAGCATAACCCCGAACATTACAGAGTACCTAGGATGTGACAGGTATCCTGCTGGGTAAAGGCATGAGTCAGGCATCCCTGCCTCCAAGAGCTCCTGGCCCACTGAAGGAGACAGGCTCTTTTACAAGGAAGGCACATCGTGCTAAGAACTCTATGAGGTAGATAAAGAGGTTATGGCATAGTGAGAAAGAGTCCTCACTAGAATACGGTCCAAGGTCCTGTATGACTCTGGACTCAGACAGAGAGGACCCAAGCTCAGCCCTGAGCAGACCACATACCTCTGAGCAAATAACTTCTACCCTCTGCCCTGTGCTCCTCACATTTACACCAGAGAGAGGTAGACTGTATCTTTTCTGCTAATTCTAACTCTTGTGTCTTTGCAGTTAAGCTTCATAGACGTCAGGCTCTGAACCAAGTTATGAAGGAAAAGACTCCAGGGGCAAGAAATGGAGGAGAGCATTACTAATGGCAAAAAACAGGTGAGCTGAGGCATACGACCCTGGCATCTTCAGTACATAAAAACTGTGTTACCTACTGTCTGGGGACTTCGCTAATGGCACAGGACATTCGAAATGGATACCCCCCCCAAAAAAAAAAGAAGAAAGAAAAGGAAAATGTTTATAAACTTTAAAAAAATGTATAAAGATTTAAACAAAAATGAACACAAATGATGAAAGTGTTTAGCATAGTAGAGAATGCACTAACATTTAAATTATTTTTCTTTTTTCTTTTTTTTCTAACATTTAAATTAAATAGAAAGTAAAGCAAACCTCACACTTCCAACAAATATCATGTCATAATACTGAGCAGATGAAGAGATGCAGCTTCATTTAAAAACAAAGTCTGAATATCCATGAACCTTTCCCCATATTTATCTTTAAAATGTATATATGCAAGGGAAATTTCTTCTTTCACGTATTCAAAAAAGGTTATATTAAAAAAAGAGAGAGAGAGAGAGATTGGCAGAATTGCAAGAAAGAATCAAGACTTCAGAAATTAAATGAGACTGAGTTGCTTCAAAGGCGGATGCCACATTCCAAACTGTTTATCGCAAGAGAAGAATCACTGAGCAGAGCACTCACCCATCCAGCCATCCGCCATCCATCCAAATATATACATACATGAGAACATACAGACATACATTTGACCATACACAATCCTTCCTACCAAAAACACAGTAGCATAATAGGAGCCAAGAGGAACATAAGGACGAGTGAGAAACCATGTCTTGTTGCTTAAATGGGGAAACAAAGCTTACATTCTTACAAGGAAGTATCCCCATCACATGGGGCGTGCATGCCACATATGCCAAGAAGAGAAGAACAAGCAGTACAGCACCTGGGTAAGGACAACAGCCTTGCTTCAGAAACTGAAGAGCCACAAAACCATAGAGAATGTCACCTCTCCTCCCTAAACTCCCATTTCCCATTTTCCACGGGAAGAACATACACTTACCTCATAGGATTCTATGAGGCGGACATAAAATGATAGTGAAGCAGCACAGCATCTCACATAGACTACGACGTGCTGAACAATGACAGAGCAAGAGCAGGAAAAAAAAAAAGCAGAAATGTGAGAGTCACAGAATCAGATGTACCTGGAACCCCAGGGAAGGGAATGATTACTTCGGATGTAGGCCATCCCTGGCCATTTTGGAGAGGGCAACCCAAGTAGGATGTTGACAGATGACAAAATGGGTGGGTGTGGAATGCTGAGAAAGAGCAAATGGCTGTGGGCTACAGAGTTTTGCACAGGCTGTCAGGGTCCCCAGAGAACGAGACAGGCAGTGAGCAAACTTCACAGAATCCAGTAAGGAGAGCAGGACATCTCAAGAGCAGAGAGCCAGTCACCCAAGGGGCCAACCCACTGCAGGTCACAGCATTCAGGATGAAGGAGTCTGAAAGGAGACCACGACACACTCCTCCGTCTCCCATATGTCATGGATTAGCCTACTTAATATAGGACATGCCTCAACGCCACCCCTCAGGTGGGGGGGGGCGGACATCACAACGACTAAGCCTTCCCCATACATTTGCCTCCTGCTCCAGGAGGAAACCTATCTTCTTCCTTTCATGTTAGAAGCAAGTTGACTTCAGCTCTCCCCAAAGATGAAGAGACAAAATAACCATCCCCCAGTAAGCAAAGCAGGGAAAATATTGAGAAAACAAATAAGGAAGCCAACCTATGGTCTCTCCTGTCATGGTGAGGGGAGATTCTCTTCCAAATCCCAACATGAATCCTGCAATCACTAAAGCGCCACCACTGAAGAACAAAGAAAACCAGTACTGCTAAGTCTTGGACTGACTGTAGAGAGAATTTCCTTCAAGGTCTGTAAAACTCAGACACTGCCATGGAGATTAGTAGAGCACCAAGAGTGCCACTTCCTGTTTTTCCACAGTAGCTCTCTGATGGTCTTGCTTTTGCCTTCTCTGGAAAAAAGGATTTCCAAAGATCCATGGCCCCAGCTCTGGAGTACACGCTGATGCCTGACTTCCCTACCACCTGCCTATGCGTCCAGCCCCCTCACACAAACCAGATACCTGGGTGAGGCCTCGACTCCAGAAGTCCTTCAATTCTAATGAGAATACCAAGAGAGGAGTTAAGTGTTTCCTGGGGCAGGGAGAGGACTAGGAGGAAAAGAGACAGGCTGAACTATACCACAGAGTGTGAAAGAGTCTCACAACCACTGCAGAAAGAAACACACTCATGTCATCCAAGAAGTAATAAGATATATCATGCCTGGTGAGGGTAACGTAAGGTCTTTTTTTTTGGGGGGGGGGGTGGGGGGTGAGGGAGAAAACAGAGAAAGGGGTGTTCAATCTCCTTTCACTGTCTCTTCACTCTCAGCTCCCAGAAGTTTACCGTTACTCCTCTGTTGTCAGTTATGTCATCGTTTCGCAGATTTGGATGAGCCGCTGACACTGATTGGTAAAAATATGGAAACTCTTCAACCAAACAGTACAGCACTCCTCATGCTGCCTGTGAGGCTCAGTGTGTGAACATACAGGTACATGCACACCTGAGATGCGGAGCTCACGTGGCTCATCCAACTCCGCTTTATGCAAATTGAATGTTCTGTTGTTACAACCCCTAGAACTAGGCTTCGCTCACATTTGTCTGACACTTTCAACAAATGCAGATCTCACACAGCTCTCCAGACAACTTTATGCTACAGCAGCCTACGTGAGTCCTAACAATTTCAGTCTTCGCAATTCCAGGTGCCTCAGCGGGTTCACTTCAAATGAGTTTCCCATCAGAGCACTTCTTGGCACCACGTGGGGACACATGTCTAACATCAAGAGGGAGGGGCAACTGGGTGGCACACAGTCTCCACAAGACAATGGGATGGGGTGGGAGATAACAGAGTAGAAGGGAACTGAGATGAATGAAGAGACCAGGGTTCTAGTTTCAGCTGCAGCCCTAAGTCACTGAATAACCACAGCTGTAGAACCCCTAAGAGGTCTCACTTTCTTTATCCCTAAAAGAAATGTTGGCTTTGGTGGTTTCTAGATGTTTCTTTTGACTCTGACAGTCTATTAACTACGATAAGCACACTGAATTCTTGAGCTACCTTTTCCCGACAAAACATCATGAAAATAAATCGCTTTTATTATATTGAACTCTCCCACTTCGGATACCCGACTCTAAAATCCTCCCACTTACCTTCACCACCAGGCTGCTTGTATGGGTTGTACTTGGGCTTTGGAGCAACTACTGGTGCAAACTTCTTGGGTGGTTGTTGTGTGGACACCGAAATGCTGGGGGTCCCAAAGGCATGGGTGGTCTCCATCCGAGCAGGCACATGGCCAAGGGGTTCACCGGTGCTTTTGGGTGGCAGCCAAGATGGGTGAGACATCGTTGGAATCTGGAACTAGAAAGAAATAAACAGTCGGTTTACAAAAGCATAAAATGGAGGTGACCGGCCTCAGTTCCACATTCTTCCATCTTAATCCATACTTAGTGAAACCTTGACAAAGCTCCCTGAGAAGGAGGACAAAGAGAGAAAAAGCGAAAGAGAGGAGGAATAGTAGGAGGAAGATGAAGAAAAACTGACTTTCACTGGAGGAGAAAATAGCACAGTCCCCTCCACCAATCTTGAGCACCTCTTCTGACAATTACCTATTCAGTGTCTAACACTCTTCGGGAAATAGATATGATAAGAAATGGTCCCTAACCTGAAGAAGTTTCTTTTTTTAAAAAAAAATATTTCATTTATTTATTCATGAGAGATACAGAGAGAGAGGCAGAGACATAGATGCAGAAACATGCTCCCTTCAGGGAGTCCAATGAGGGACTCAATCCCGGGACCTCAGGATCATGACCTGAGCCGAAGGCAGATGCTCAACCACTGAGCCACCCAGGCACCCCCAGAAGAAGTTTCTATGGGAGGAGACTCTGATCCCAGGAAGGCTGGAAAAAATCTTCAATTTTATTAATGACCTATTAAAAGGGATACCACATATCAAGTAAATCATGATTAAGTTACCTAAGTGAGGTGATACTGCCTAAGAGGGATCAAAATAAATAAAAGTGTTTCTGGGATGCAGAAAAAAGGTAAGATTACTTCCGGCTGGGCACAGAATGCAGATGTCATTAATGAGATGTCCCTGAGACGGGGCCCTGAGTGCTGAGCAGAGGTCAGCCTGAACCAGGTCAACAACGTGGCACCATGGGCAGCAAAGAACACAGCACTTAACGTTTGGTGTGACTGGGGAGGGAAGAAGAAGTAGCTAGCAAACAAGTAAAACATGGGATGGAACCAAAGTACACACAGCTTTGCTCTCTAGCCTGGGGAACCTGAACTTCATCAGTCAGCATCAAGGAAGCACCAGAAGTTTATTCTTGAAACAATGGCCTAACCAGCACCCATCAGGATGCTTTCAGATGATCCCTCTGTAGAGGCAGTTATGCTCCCCACCCAGGGGCACTTGCAAATGGTGGGAGAAGGGAGGACCCTGTTTGCACAAAGCCTAGGACCACACTGGCACTTAGTAACTGAGGGCTAGCAATATTCAACACCTGTGATGAACAGGTCAGCCCCCCAGGACTAGAGAACATCTGTGAAAAACTAAACTAAGATCGGGCAAAGCAGCCCAGCCAAAGTGTAGTTCTGATCATATTACAATACACTGTATGAGGAAAGAAACATGCTGTCTTGCATGTCAGGGTAAGCCAGTCACCACTCCAGGCAGCCTGCAGGCTGGGGCTGAGCCTCCCAGAAGGCTTGCCGAGGAGGAGGGCTCTCCAAGCCTGATTGCAACAGCTCTCCAGCACAGGGAGGCCCGGAAGGCACCCTGCACCGGCTCCCAGCCCCAAATCCACCCAGTAATTTATTAATTGAACTGAATTAATTGAGAGGGCTACATGATTACCTCCAGATGTCTGTAAAGACAAAGAACACTGGAAATGCAGGGAAAAATAAAGGCCAGGGAGAGACGGGGTGACAAAGAGGGATGGGGCACGGTGTTGGCTAAGGTAGCATCAGGGGGAGGGCCCTGACCTTGAACAGCCAGCCCCTCCCCCACAGCACTGCCTCGGGTACCCCCAACTCCCTTGAAATTACGACAAAGCCTTGTTCTCCCTAACTCCCGAGTTTTAAGACAACCGATGAGCTAACACTACTAAAGGGTTTTATATCCTATATAGTGGTATGCAAAGGAAGAGAAAGAAAACTGTTGGAGTTGGAGTGGAGTTTTCCAGTGAAAGGGGATGACTGGGATCAAAGAGGAAGGCTCTAACCTAGGGATCCGGAGGCTTCTGTTACTGAAGCCAGTGGAGACAGGGACTTTCACTCTGGTTGCAGGGCCCTGCCTTCTTCCTCCCTTGTACAGTGTGCACAGGCAAGGTACAGACACTTGTTAAGCTGTGGGTTCCTTGAAAGGGCAAGGACCGTATTTTACATATTCCTAAAATCACCACGAAGGCCCAGCACAAAACCAACATAGAAAACAACCATGAATCTGGTTTACTCATTGTTCTCAACCCCGGCTGCACATGTATAATCATTTAAGAAGATTAAAAAAAAAAAAAGCACATCTCTTAAGGATTGAGAAACACTAGGTTTTGTGTATGTATTTTTTTTTAATTGAGTCTTAGTCTTCTACTGAAAGGGGATGAAAGTGTCTGTTCTGCTTTCAACATGACTAAAGTGAGCATAGGTCAGCACCAAGTAGGATAAAATAAAGATTTGAAAACTTTTATGTGCCATGCACATTTGCAGTATAAATTTTATTTGTACATTTTAAAAATGGGTTAATATCATCCTTGCAACTTTTCTATAAATCTGAAGTTATTCCAAAATAGAAACTTTAAAAAAATGGGTTAATATAGGATGCAGTGATTTCTAAAGCAAAGAGGCACATTTCCAGATCAATTCTACATTGCCAATTGACTGTAGAATCCTGGCTTTTTCAGATATGCCACAGATATAAAAGAACAGGCAACTTCTGGGAAAGTATAAAAAAATGAAAACTTAAGCATCGATATGCAAATAATTGACTCCTCTTTACAGTTATCCCCAATACCTCATATTACCCTGATAATGCCCTCCCCATGGAGATACCCTCAGTTCCACCTCTTGAGAGTACCAGGGTCTGGCCATCTATCTGTCTGCAGATGACCTCAATGGCATCTCCTGTACCATTCCTCTATGTGTCCACAGTGGTCCAGTGACACAATTCACAACATTTGTAATGAATGCTCCTGACCCCACAGCCTTACTCCTGCTGCACCCACCATCTACACTGCCATTTCCATCCCTTCACTTTCTACCAAGCCCTATTGTTTTTATCTTGACCCAGCTCAAATGTCTCTGACGCTGTGAACATATCCCTAACTCACCACCCACCCCACCCCCCCAAAAATGAGTAGCTTAATTCCAGGTTCTTCAGTACTTGTATCACACTTAAGCAATCCACATGGACTGACCCAATAACGTGGCAGCTTCCAAGTAGTCTCATTAAATGAGCATAATGCCTGGCTAGGAAGCCTCTAGAAAGCTATATTACAGATAAAGGAGCAGATGGATGAATGTTGATCTTTTCAGCTACTCATCCCTCTTTAGAATGTCTATATCTCCCTTCTTAAGCCTCCACTGAAACAGTCATCTCTATTTCTCTCCGTTACCTTAGCAATGTAATGAATCATGTTGATAGAAATCCAGATATTGAACCATCTCTGCATTTCTAGAAAAAATCCTACTAAGTCACAGTTACAGTATTTTGATATGTGATGAATCAAACATGGTATTTTATAGAGAATTTTTGTACACAGAATCATGAGTAAGATCATTCTATAGTGTTGTTTCTCTAATTGTTTTCCTTATCATTATTAGGTTTCATATTCTTCATTTCAAATTCTTCTAGGTTTGCTCTCCCTCCATTTCCATCTAGCTACCTCTCAATTAAAAATGATATCTCATCTACTGTGCAGCATTTATATCCTGAGCATCACTTCCCACTAATATTTAAAGACATAACTCATGTTTTCTACCCTCCAGTTCAAGTGTAATATTGTCTTCACCTGGAATACTGTACTCAGAGTAACAGAATATATTACCCTGTCTCTCTGCTTGCCTAGATCCCAAACTAAACTCTTGGATCCTTAAGAGCATAAAGAATTATCACTCTCAAGTCCCAGGGCCTAATACATGATAGACACTCAATAAAAATGTCTGTTAATTTAATGAATGAATAACTTTATTTGCCTGGCATCTGAGCTCCAGATGAATCAGATTCTCATCCTGTACTGAGATGAATCAGATTCTCATCCTGTACTCAAGAAGCTTAAAGCCTACCTGCAGAAGAGATATTTATATATGTGAAAAGAGAAAGAAAGCAATACACAGCATACAAAAAGAACTGGGGTGTGTGACAGGAGCTAGCATAGGGAGGGGTTGCCCCTGCCAAGGACTTTGAAAGCTGGCTGGTTCAGAAAGATAAATGGAGCAACAAAGATAATGCCTGGAAATAATGTAAGCTCAAGGAAGAAGCAAGGTCTTTCCATAGGACAGGGAACAGACCAGTTGTACTAAAATGAGGGACTTATGGAGAGTATTTGGGGAAAAGGTTTGGAAGATAAATTGAGCTTGCTTTTTAAAGGTTTTCTGCAGAGAAATAAGAAGCTAGAACTTTAATCTTTGAACAGTCATCCAACAAGAGAAAAAACTCTATATATGAAACATGAACCAGTTCAGGATGGATCTAAGGAAGATGATAAACACAACTGCACAGACACAGAGTCTCCAGGTCCCCAGTTCTAGTATCAAGTTGGCCATTGTGACCTTTAACAACAGAGGACACTCATTTGCAAAATGAATGTCTGTAAAGTCCCAATCAGCTCTAATACTCTACAGTATTTTCCTTCTCTGAAACCTGAATTACAGCCCTTTATGTTGATACATGGGTTTGAAGAAAGCTCACAAGGTTAGTGAACAGATGAACTAGCACATGTCAGTTGGGGTTTCTCAGCTTCTTCAAGAACGACCAACATAAACATAAAGATAAGCAGTGGTGAGAGCTGGTTTTGCTGGACCAAAACTCACCCTGCTCTTACTTCCTCTGGTTCTAGGTCAGTTTCACTATAAGCTGACAATCATTGCGAAAGCAAGAAGTGAAAGGGAAGATCTCCACAGGGGCTGCAAAAATACGCAAACACCATCACAAGAGAGGCAAACAAGAGAAATGGGCCTGGTCTGAGGGAAATGCCTACTGCTGGAAGGAGGCTGAGAGCTGGGCCCCCTGAGCACTGGACTTTCAGGAACTGTTGTCACATGCAAAACGATGAAGAAGAACCTAAAGAGCTTCACTTATTATCCTCTCTCCACGCTCTCGGTCTTCTCCTCCTAGCTGTTCAATGGGTACAAAAATGCCA